GTCCCTTAAGGTGTGTCTAAACTGTACCCCTTTCCCCTGTATGCTGGGGTCCTCAGGCTTTAGGCATGGGGTGGAAGGGAGAAGCCCTCCCTTTCTGAGCAACCAGAAGCAGTACCTTTCTGAGGACAGTGGCTGGTGGGCCTTATATTATCTCCCCGTTCTGTGCTGTCTGCTCAGCTCACTCTCTTTTCCCCAGGTGTCATGCCTATGTGGGTCAGCTCCCTGTCTCCTGTGTGGCTGCTGCCCTTCTACGAGGAATTCCACCATCTCCCGCCTCATCTTCACTTTCTTCCTGTTCCTGGGCACACTAGTGTCCATCATCATGATAATACCCGGTGTGGAAAACCACTTATACAAGGTAAATAACATCCACAGTGCTTTTCCCTTCCCTACCAAGGTGAGACCAGTGAGCAAAAGTGGAAGCAAAACACTGGGACTTGGGATGCTGGGGTCCTTTACCAGGTGAAATGAGATGTAAATATTTGAGTTCCCATGCATTGAAAGAGAAATGTTAATATGTAGCACTTGTCAATAGGACTGTGTGAAACAGCACCCTTCTGTTTTGCCTTGAGTTTCGAGGGAACAGTGTTTCGTATCAAATTTCATTTCGATTCAAAACAGCTGTTCCATGTTGCTTCATTGAAACAGTGAGGCTGTTTCTACCTTTCGATCAGCCGGGGACAGGGAATTAGCCCATCTGGGCTGACTTCCCATTCCTGGTGCTAGATTAGGCGGGGTATGGCCACGCTGGGGAGGGGAACTCAGCCCACCTGGGCTGATTTCCTTTCCCCAGCCTGATCTAGCCTGTGCTAGTTGAACAGTGACTGTAACTGATGAGTCCATCGTATCTATTAAGGAGTTGCTTCGATGGTTGATTTCCCTATCCATTAAAAATGTGCTATGCAACTACCCTGCTGCTAGATATGGTCACTCCATCTTCAGACTGAGGTTCACAGCTGGTCTGGAGGGAGACGGCTCTGCCAATCCTTGGTTTATGGACTCCCTCCACCTCCAGGGCTTTTGGCTGCAGGACTGCAGTTCTTGCCAGGAAGGTATCCTTAGAATGTTTTGCTCCCAAAGAGCAACTACGATGCGTTTTGCAATCTCTCTTGCTCTCTTGCAGTAGGTCTCAGCAAAGATGGGGCTGAGCAAGTCTTGCACACCAGAATTTGTGGGCAATCTCCAGACCCTTGAGGCTGCTTCAGGTTTGTCTCAAGTGCCCACTCAGTCTCTGATGTGCCTGAGGCTGGGCAGTGACCATGGGTGAGCCTGGAGCAGCTTCAGTGATGAACTTTGGGGTCTGGAGTGCATCACTAGTCAGGACATCTTCTGTCCCATCCTTATCAGGGTCTGCAGTGGCACAGACGAGCCCTTAAGCTCTAGTCTAGGATACAGTTTCTTTGCTTAACCTTGTTGAGCACTAAAAGCTCCTGACCCTGCAAGTAGCCATACTTCTGCATGGAGCCCTGAAAGGGCATGCCTGCGCATAGCTGCTGGCACTTTTATACCAGCAACTGGCGGCCACAGTGTTGGATCCTTCCCAGCTCCATCACTGAGCTTGGCCAGCTCACTGCAGCTCTGCTTCCATTCTTACACTTGGTCTCTTGTGTCTGTTTAGACTGTGGATACAGCAGGGTATGGCCTGGCTCAAGCTCTCTGGATGCACAACGGTTCTCTGCAGGGCCGTGCTGGCTCTAAGGCTCACTGAATCCTTTTCTCTCTCCTTACAACAGCTTCCTGGCTTCTGTAAAGGAGGCAGCCAGATCCTGGGTGTTGAAGGCTATGCCAGTTGTAACTCCTTCCTGGGTCATAAATCCGTGTATCGCATGGGCTTTGCCATGGCTGCTTTCTTCTTCCTGTTTGCCTTGATCATGATATGCGTGAGGAGCAGCAAGGATCCAAGAGCAGCCATTCAAAACGGGTGAGGCTCCTGGAACTTGTCGCGTCTTGCAAGTGTTAATCCCTCCATCCAAAGTACCACATCTGTCAAATGCCCTAGCAAGTTAGTGATACTACCACTACTTGAAAAGAAAAAAACTTAAAAAACACCTGGTGTGCATTATATTGTTGATGCCCTGCAGAGCAGACACCTGCTGGCCAGTTTCAGGTAGTGTCTTGTCAGTTTTGAGGCCAGGGAGACCGATTTCCAATCCTCTTTTGGTTAAACCTGGCAACAGAGCCTGGCCCAGCTATTCTACAGTGGAAGTGATTAGGGTTTACTTTGGGTTTAGCATAGTTTTTTTCTCACGCAGTAACTTTTGGTTGAGCTTCAGTTTCTCATCTTGGCAGCTGCTGCTGCATGAGTGAGGTCTAATAATAGCAGTTAGGTGGAATTTCTTTCCAAATAAAATGCCTTCAATTCTGGCCCTAGGCAACCTGCTGCTATTGTGGGTAGAAGCAGTCAATGTTGTTGGGTAATAGCCTCCTGCTGCTAGTTCTTGTTCACTTGAAAGTAGGAGCCATTGATCTGTGACTGCTTTATTAAATAAAAATCTGACTGGAGCTTTAATTAGGTTCTCTGATGGATGTTGGTGCAAGAAAGTGAGTTTTGCACTCAGTTTAAGAGCTGTATCATTACTGGCCCCTGGAAAGTTGGGGGCAGAGCATCTTGCTATAAAAGCAGACTTTCATTTATTATTTTTTTAAGGGAACTCTTTTTGCGACTGGAGAGGAGGGGGGAGGTTATTTTTAACTCTAGCCAGGGCAGCCTCCTTAGACTGCGAGAGTCCATGTGCTATAAATGGGAGTCCATTGAGTGATGCTAAATGTGTGTTTTTCCTCTTTGACTTCATGCCAGGGGGCATGAGTGGTCCCTGGATGGCATGTCCTTGCGGGGAAGGAGAGGGTAGCACTGTCTCAGTGGATCTGGGCAGCATGCTGTCCTTCCCAGCTCTCACAGTTTTTTCTTGCTGCTTGTCTTTGCATTCAGGTTCTGGTTTTTCAAGTTCCTGATTTTGATTGGCATCACCGTGGGCGCTTTCTATATTCCTGATGGCTCCTTCACATCAGGTAAACCTGCACAGACATATAGATATGTAATAGTACTTGCCAGCAAGTTACCTTTAATATGGCCATTCAGGCTGTGCTAACGGGCTGCTTTTGCTGTTAGTTGAAGAGAATAGCAGGATGTTTTCAGGGAAGGTCTCTCACTTGTGGAACCTCTTCTCTTGGCAGTCTGCTTGTACCCCATTTTAGCTAGTCTGAAGCTTTGGTGAAATGCTTGTGTATTCAGGCTTTACACTGGAATTGGGGTGCCCAGGGTCACATGGGAGGGCCAGTCCTCTAACCTGGGCAACGTGAGGTTTTATATTTGCCCCCTGATACTGCCTCCTGTTCTGGATGAACCCTTGGTCTTTGTGCTGGTCCACATTAGGCCAGCTTTTAATATTAATTAGCTTGAGCCTTCACAAATTTGTGCACTGCTTTGTCAGGACACGTCCCAAATACATTTGGCTGTCTACTTCATGTATGTACAGTGCCTGATATAATATACTCCTGGGCTTTGGCGAACTACAGCTACACAAATAGCTAGAGGTGCACCAATAGAGATTTTTTGGGCTAATACTGATGGCTGATTTTTAATGAGCCAGATCTGTCAATACTGATCCAATTGCATATATGTAGCCTCACAGCTTGGAGAGCAGCATCGGGTTGGTAAGTCTGTTGTGGGGGGAGGAAAGGGGCATAGAGGGAGCAGATCAAGGCCCCCGCGCTGAGGGATGGAGTGGGGCTGGGGCTGATGCTAGGGCACAGGCAGGTGGGGCAGATTGTGGGATGCAGCTGTGAGTGGCTTGTCTTGGGGTGGGAGCATGGCTTCCACTGCTATACACATTCTTGGAGGGCATGTGGGGCATATGCCTCAGGATATGTGTGTGGGGCAAGGGCAGATGGCCGCTGTGGGCTGGGGCTGGAGGATGCACCAAACTCTTCCTGTTGGGGCGCTGGGTCCAGACTTCCCTTTGGGTTGGCAGTGGTGGTATAGGGAGGTTGGCTATGGGGGGGGGGTCTATAGCCATCCCAAAATTCACCATAGCCCCTCCAGCCCCCTCCCGCCACCTGCCCTGAGCACAACCCTGGCCCAGCCTCCCCACCAGAAAGAGCCCGGCCCCAGCCTGCAGTGGTAGCCTGCCCTCGCCTCATGTGCAGATCTGGGGAGCACCCCACACCCCATGCCCTCCTGGGCTGTGCGTAGCGGCGGAAGCCACCATCCCCTGTGCTCCCTGAATGAGCCACTTGCAGCTCCATCCCACGTCCTGCCCTGCCCTGGCTATGCAGCGCCTGCCCCTGCCTCGGCCCCACCACCAGCCACAACCCCACTCCTTCCCTCATCGTGGGGGGCTTGATCTGCACCCCCCCACACCTCTTCCCTCCTCCCATACCTTCCCCCACAACTAACTTACCAGCCCCATGCTGCTCTCCACACTGCCAAGCTATGCTCCTGGCCTCCTGCCTACTGCCCTGTGGCTTCGTGCATGCATGGGGTATTTACTGGCCACATTATCAGCTACATCAGCCAAAAAAAGCCGCTTGCCAACATTGTCAATCTTCCTTATATCGGTGCCTATCTGATATGGGACCAATGTACCAGTGCACCTCTAGAAATAACAGGGGAAGATCCAGGAACACCTGGCCAGTGTCTGAACTAGCCTTGTCAAATGTGTTACCTACCTTGAGCCAAACAACAGCAGAGGGATAAAGGCTTCTAGGATAGCAGAGCTCTTGGCGGGGGCAACTGTGGGTTACTGGGACCATGCAGCTGGGGAAGGGGCTTGAGAAGACAGAAGCTGGAGTAATGACTTGGATGAATCTTGATGCTTGTTTCCACATGGTTCAGGAAAAGCCACTTCCCTTTTTAAATGCATTCCTTTTTTTAATGCAAATTAACTCTCAGGTATAGACCAGCCCTTTACATTAGCTTCAGCTAATGGGTCTCTCCCTTGTCCCAGAGGACAGACAGCTAAATTCCAGTGTGCAGTCATGGGAGCTAATTCCCCTGCCAAGATCATTTTGACAGTATGCACTATGGCATGTTGGCTCTAAAGTGCTGCATCACTCGTGCTGAGATGGTATCCCACTGCCGCAATGCTCAAGCAGAGGAGCTGCTCAGAAGAAGCATCTTTCTTTGGTTCCATCTCCGATGGACTCATTATTCATAAAGTTAGACATTTCTTTGGTGCTAATTAGTTTTTTTACTTCTTGGTATTTTTGTTTCCCCTCCCCAATCCAGTGTGGTTCTATTTCGGTGTGGTGGGCTCCTTCTTCTTCATCCTCATCCAGCTCATCCTTCTGATTGACTTTGCCCACTCCTGGAGTCAGATCTGGCTTCGCAATGCAGACGAAGGCAATGCCAAAGGCTGGTATGCAGGTCTGTACAGAGTGATGCTGGGAGTCTTTAGAAGTCTTTCTCCTTTGGAATGGGGTGTGGGGGAGACACTGACATGGCCCCAGCAGCCTAAATTGATCCAACTTGAAAGACCTTCCTTTTTCGTACGACAAAACCTGTGTCCGTATCTTTATCTTTGTGCACTTCGGCATTTTTGTTGATTCTGGAGTTCTTGGCCATCAGAGATGTTACCAGGGATTGCTACGTGGAAGTGGCTCTCGTCAGCCCCCCTGAAAGAGCTGGGAAGTTTGAGATGCTCTGTCGGCCAAGGACACCCTGCCAGTGGTTCCTGTTTTCCTTATGTTAATGCTTCTTTCCCCTATATTTGTGGGGTGAAAGAAAATGGCCAAGTGCCTACAGACAGGTTGCAGCGTAGGCAGCGTGCTTGCTCTGCAATCCCTGTCCCTCTGGGGCTCTAAGAGTAGTTGACAGTAAAGTTGGGGGGTAACAGAGCCCCACAAGTGCTCCCCTTCCCCTTTGTGTTGCTCAGTCCTCTCTGCTCTGTCCTCTCCAGGCCTTTTCTTCGTCACCTTCATCTTCTATGCAGCGTCCATCACAGCTGTGGTGCTGCTGTATGTCTACTACACAAAGCATGATGGCTGCACAGAGAACAAGGTGCTGATCAGTCTCAACCTCATCTTCTGTGTGATCATCTCTGTGGTGTCCATCCTGCCCAAAATCCAGGTGAGGAGGGAGGTGGCATGCTCCTAGGCCTCTGCTACTGCTTGTGCTGCTTCACTCCCCCTTTGGGGTGCATGTGCCATCTGGTGATTAAATCAAGAACTGCAGCTGACCAGCAAGGCAGGTTGATATGTAACAGCGTGCCCACTTTAGAAAGGCAGCAAGTTATTAAAACTCAGATGAGCCCAGTCTGGTTTCCTTTAAACAAGCCCCTTATCTGAAATTGGGTTGTCCCATGATGGCTGAACCTGGACTTGGATAACACAACCCCTGGCTTAGTTCTGGAGAGAGAACCTGATTTCTGCTAATGGAGCCAGCTTGTTGTATAAGGCAAAGTCTGATGAGCTAAACTGCCCTGTTTTTGTTGAGCTAGCTGGCTGTCTGCTGCAGTACAGGGTCAATGCAGTATGCTCAGAAGCCTGTTTTATGCTATGGAGTCAGCTCCCTTGATTACTTTGCCCTGCTGGCTTGCATCTAGCCCCAGCTGGACTCTGCAGGGGTAGCAACCAGGCTGCTTGTCTGACTTAACAGCCAGAGCGAATAGCTGAGCAGTGAGCTGAGGCAGACTGGATGCTCCCTGCCTGCATGTGGCCTTGTACAGGTTTGCAGAGGGTGACAAGTTCTTATCACTCAGCCCAAGTCTGTGGCAGAGCTCTGATCTCAACGGCATTCCTTCTGATGTGTGAGGTAAGGGGTGCTGTTGTCTGAGATGAGGAGTTTTGAGTTAACGCGTCAGCAGGGAGTGCCTCTTATTCCTGTTCAGCAGCTCGGACAAGGAGGTAGAGAGCAGGGAGCCCCTCCCACAGATGTTGGCAGCTTTGTATGATAGGGAACTGTGCTGTAAGCTGACCCCGATTGCTTTTATACAACTGCACTTTTGTGTAGCTTCCTGAAGTGCTCAGGTCACACAGATTTGGGGCATCTCCAGCTGTTCAGCACTCTATGGCTCGTGGAACCACAGGATGGCCAGGGACCTATAGCAACATTGTTTAGTCCTTTCACTAACCCAGCATGGAGCTTCCTGCCCTGAAGTACCACTGATGCCAACAGCTGGCAGGATCCATAGAAAGATTGGTTATGTGGATGGTTGATGAGCATATTGAAGGTTGTACCATATGATAGTTCTATCCCTTATCTATTTCCCTGAGGATTTAGGCTATAGGTGAGCAGCTAACTGCTTGGGGGTCAAGAAGAGACATGCCTGCAAGATAGGTTACCCCATTGCTGCCTATTGCAGGGGCACTAGTGCCTTCCTCTGAGGAATCTGGCCCTGGTCATTGTCCCAGATGGGAGACTGGATTGGATGTATCACAGCTCTGATCCAGTGTAATGATTCCTGCATTGAAAAACAAAGCTTGACATCCCATGCAGATTTGAGCTGCTATTATCTCTTTCTCACAAACCCCTGCATCTGTGGGGCAGGTGCCAGCCCAGCTGCTTGGGGCCCATTGGGCAGAGCTATGCCAGCCTAGCTGTGCCTGGTGGCATTCAGCCGCACTACATGGCAGCAGAATGCTCTTTCCTCCTGGATTGCCTCAGCTGTCACATTGCTGCTGACTGACCTGGCCACACAGTACCAGTACAGATGCTAGTGCTGCTTGCTTTTCTGTGCTATGCAGCTGGTTGTACAGGGTATACAGCCCTAATGACCCCCTTTTCCTCTCTGCAGGATGCTCAGCCACACTCGGGCCTGCTGCAGGCCTCCCTTATCACACTCTACACCATGTTCATCACCTGGTCGGCCCTGGCCAATGTGCCAAGTAAGTGAAACTGGCCCTGAGGGCCTCTGGCTGATATCCCAAGTAAACAGTACCAATCCTAGCCTCAGACTTGTCAGAGCAAGGTGCTCAGCCAACCTGCTTGGCTGGACATGGGGGTTGGGGGTGGTAGCACTGGCAAGAGTGGGTGATTGGCCTGTGTAGGTTGCTGGGGGTCTTGGTAACCACATGCTCCCCCCACAATCCTCCAATGTAGCAGTGTTGGCTTTTCTTGGCTTTCTCTTCCCTGGTCATTTCCCACCCCCAACATCTACAGGGTCTCCTACATGTCTGGCTTTCACTTGTATTAGTTAACTTAAATGCTTCCTGCTCCTCACTGTGCCCACTGCAGCTGGTTACAGATGAGAGCTCAAGCCAGAAAGATCCATGAAGAGTAGCCTTTGCTCCTCTCTGATCCTTAGGATTCCTGTGGTCTCTGGGCTGTAACTGCAGGTCCTGCTTTCCCTTGTTTCTGGGCATCAGGTCCGGTCTGGACTTTTGTGCCAGCCCATAGTGCTCATGTGGTAGGTCAGTGACCTGAGGCTTGCTCCACCAGCATGAAGAGGGGAGCCACTTTGGAGACCTTTTGGGAGGTGTGGGGGTAAATCCTCTGCATTAAAGGCATGTGGTGTCAAGCTTCCCTTGGGGGCAGGTCCCCATGTGAAGTGACATTGGATTGGCCCTGGGACTTCTGCAGTGCTGGGGGGAGGCGGGGGCAGAAGGGTGGAGTGCTCTGGGCCACAAAGGTCATGTTGTATGAAAAGAGGCCTTGGCTCTGAGCAGTTGGAAAGGTTCTGGCTTTTTATATTGTTATTTTGAAATCTGTTACAGACAAATCCTGTAACCCCACCCTCCTGGTCAGGAACAGCACAGCCACCCCAGTGGCTGAGGGGCATGTGACCATGTGGTGGGATGCCCCGAGCATTGTGGGATTGATCATCTTTGTTCTGTGCACGCTCTTCATCAGGTGAGGATCCAGGGTGCTTCTGCCATGTCCGACTGGAGTCTTTGTCCATCACTGTCATGTTCAGTCTTTTGTAGCCCGAGCTCACATGAGGGCTCATAGGAGCCCTTGCCTCTCACCTCACACGTGGTACCCCTTCTGGGGGGCAGGGACGAATGAAACAATTGCAGCAAGTTAAAAGGAGATGGGGGACTTTCTCTGCATCAGCTCCACCCAAGTGCCTGTCCACATGTCCATTTAAGTGAAAGCTCAACTGCAGTAGCTTAACTGTATTTCGCTGACTGCTAAAGTCCTGCTGCCCAGCTTTCACTTGCCGCAGGGACGACAGGCACACAGACACTTGCCACAGTGCAGCTAGCACACAGTAAAGCTTCACACCCTTTTAACTTGCTGCGATTTTCCTCTCTTGTCTGTACTGCAATGTACGATAAAAGCCTGCTAATTTCTGTGAAGGGTCATGCTGCCAAAAACACTTGCTCTCAGGGGCTAGAAACAGCCCTGAAGCCAGGAGGGCATGGAAGGGACAGGTCAAATGGAACCAAGGGCTGAATCTGGCCTGCAGTGGACCTTAGCTGATGTTTCCATTCAGATAGTAAGCCAAAGGGGCAGCCTGGCAGGAGGTTAACTTGTCTGTGTGTTGGACTAGGTGTAGTATTAATACAGAGCTTGCCAGCTTGTCTGCCCTGCATTCAACCCATCTCCCACATCTGTTCCCAGCATTCGCTCCTCGGACCACGCCCAAGTGAATAAGATGATGCTGACCGAGGAAGGACCAGGTGCAGCAGGCAGCGGCGGGACAAGCCTGGAAGATGGCGTGCACCGGGCCTATGACAACGAGCAGGACAACGTGTCCTACAATTACAGCTTCTTCCACCTCTGCCTCCTCCTGGCCTCCCTCTACATCATGATGACGCTCACAAACTGGTACAGGTGTGTGCTCCATCAGTGTTTTTGTGTCCTGGGAGTGACATGTCAGTGGGTAGGACCCTGGTATAGGAGTGAGGATACTGGGGTTCAACTCCCAGCTCAAGGTGACCCAAGAAAAGTCACTTGGTACCTAATGAGTTTGCATCTGGGCCAAGCTGTAGCTGTTGTGTCCCAGACTGAGTTAGTGACCTGCTCCTGGTGAGGTTAGCCTGTAGTTGTCTGGGATGGAGGAGCTGAGGCACAAATAGACAAGGGACCCATCCATCTGTCAGAGGTGGCTAAGCAGTAGCCTCCCTTCATTAAAAGCTTTGCTTTTGGTGGAATAAAAAGCACTGCCTGCCCCTCAGGCATGTGAAGATAGTGCTGACTCCAATGCAGGAGCCACCACTCTGTCTAACCGGGGAAGGGGTTCCTGAAGTTGAAATTCCCCCAGAGAGCAGAGCAGCATAGGGCCCTTGGTGCTGGAGGAGGCTGTGTATGTTTGACAGACCTGCTGCTGCTGCTCTTGTGGAGTGAATTTGCCTCTGGTTGCCTACAGTACTGTTTTGCTGGGAGAAAAGCCTGAGGTTGCTTGGCTTGCCCCACCTTGTCCCTGCAGCCCTGTCCAGCGAAGCTGACAGTGCAGGGCCTGGTAGGAAATGGGGCTGGGTCTCTGCAGTTAGCAGACATTTTGGCCTGGTTATAATTGACAGCTTGACTAAGCAAAGCACCTTGGCATCCCAGCTTCCCCAGCCCCTTCATTGTGCTGCTGTGGATATGGTGGCTACAAGCTGGGCAGCAGAACTGGCTGGGGCACGTGGTCAGTGGCAGACTCCTGGGCTCGCCTGCTGCTTTGCTGCTGGTAATGAAGTTGCCTAGGTAACCAGCACAGAGCAGCAGCCGCAGCAGCATCCGAGCAGACGGGATCCGTGGAGGTGTCCTCAGCTGAACTCTGCTAAGCCTGTGCCAGGGGAGCTTGCAGAGGAGCTTAATGTCTGCTGAAAGGCAGGGAAAGAGCTGGTGGTGGCAATGCAGGATCCAGTTACAAGTTAGGATGATCTGGCCATTACAGCCTCCCCCATTCCTTCCAGAGCTCTGTATTACTGCTCGTTCCACCCACCCTTCCCTTCTTCCTTTTGCTATTTATATAGCACTGGTTGCTCTAGTGACAGCGCTCGGTTACCCTTCACCTGCCCTGACGGTGCAGCACAGTGACTTTGCCTTCAGACCCCCTGTGGTGCTGATGCATGAGTCAGAGCAAGCTCCAGTTGTCCTTCACCGCTCAGCAGGATCCAGCTTGCACTCTCCACAGAGCAGCACTCATTCTGCAAGGCAGAGTGGGGGCAGACATTTCCTCTCCTCAGTTCCCCAGGCCACTGGGACGTAGAGCTGGCCTGTGCAGTGAGGAGTGATCCCTTCCAACAGAGATGCTGGTGCTTGAGCACAAGTCACAGTTTAATTACAGGGATGCCTCAAAACTGGGACATGTAGAGAAGTAAACAGGATCTTTGCCTTGTTCCCAAGTGACCTGGGCGATTGACTTATCCAGATGGATTCAGGGCTTAGCTGGTTAGGCATCTATGAAGCTGGGGGCAGTGAGGGGAATAAGCAGGAGTTTCTAGCTGGAAACACCCTGTGTAGTATATTGCAGTGACTCATTTGATCTGATTTTGGATTTTCTGTTTGGTGTTGCAGGCCTGATGAGCATTTCCAGACCATGAGTAGTCCTTGGACTGCAGTGTGGGTAAAGATCTCTTCCAGCTGGGCCGGGCTCCTCCTCTACCTCTGGACTCTGGTAGCCCCCCTTGTACTGCCAGATCGAGACTTCAGCTGAAAAGGACTTTGCCTGTCAGACAGCTCAGCTACTTTTAGCTGGAGAACCATGCTGCCAAGGGATGGCCCCCTGCTCTTGGCTTGTGGGGAGAGCAGGGCTGTGGTTCTCCCAAGCTGTATGTTACCCTTTGACTCTCATTTTAGGACTGAGACCAGTTCCTCAGGATTTTGCCTTTCTGTTTCTTGTTGTTTTTAAAGGGAAAAAGTGCCTGTCAGAGAGAGCCTGCCCTTTGTGGGTGAAGCCAGCCTCATATGGCACTGCTTCTACTGCAGTCTGTGTGTGTGTTGACTAGCATCTTAGTTCGCTGATGAATGATGATCTCTAAAGTAATGCGATTTAAAGATTACAAGTTTAGAATATGCGTGTTACACCACTGATACTAGACCTTTAGCATGTTACATCTTAAATTAACAGTTTCTGTTTCTTTTGACCATAACTATGGGTACCAGATTTAAGTGGTGAATTATTAAAATGTGTGAATGTGCAGGTATACATTAACCCTGATTAACGGAACGTCTTCCAAAAGCAAAGACACAGAGGAGTCAAGTCAAA